TTGCTCTATTTGTATGTCCTACTCCATTGCCATTTCTCTCATCCTAAGTCTCATCTCAGATGATGAACTAGATTCTCTTCAATAACTGTTCTCACCTTCTTCATTAGTGTTAGAACCATTGATTTTTAGCTGGGCACATGGTTACCCAATAAAGACTGCACTTGACCAAAAGAGAATAGTGTAGTGATGTATACAACTTTTGCAAGTGGTCTAGAATAAAGGCATGTGTTCCTTTCTGCCCCTGCCTCCTTTTTGCTCACTGGAAAAAGGATGTAATGGGTAGAGCTTGAGCAGCCACAATGGATCACAAGGTAGAAGCTGCATTTAGAATGGTAAAGCCACATGATGAAAGGAGCCTTTTGCTCTGCTGATTAGAGTCATCTTTCCTGATGTGAGAGTAACATATTTTACTTTCTTTAGGCTACTGTTACTTCGAGTTTTTTTTAACTGCTGCAGAAATCAATCCCTGTATGAAAATATATTGTTTAGGGTAATTTTCTGGTGGCAGTAACAAGAATCATTCAAAGTTATATAAAGCAAAAAGGGGGAATTATTTTAAAGACAGAAGGCTTTCTTACAGAACCTATGGGAAGGGATGAAGGAAGCCTCAGTAATAGATTGGTAGCTGGAATTAAAATACTAAGGGGAGACCAGGAAGCCCTCTCATTGTGTCTCATCTCGCCTTCTCTTCCTTCTTACTAAAAATTATTTACATAGTTGGCACAGAGAAGCAACAAATAAATATTTGTTTGTTGGATGGTAATTTGTGTGTGTGATAAACTGGATCTAAAGTCAATTCTCAAAACATTTTCTTATATATATGTAGCTTGTTAAAGTGATTCTTTTGAAAGAGGGACTTTTTAGAGTCTAAGCTCTCTGTTAAACCCTTTCTCTCTGTTTTTCCCAGTCGCTTATTCTAACGTCAGAAAAGGTGCCTGAAATACAGGGTAGTTCATGATTAATATCATGATAACACTTTTGAGATTGCTCTGCTTTTTTGTCCAGAAGTTTCAAAAGCCAGTTTTTATAAGAACACAAGCATTGGCACTCAGCAACTATGTTGCTAGATGAGGAAGTGATAGATTACTTTTGGTACATTTTCTCTATAATTGTCTCTTGTTTTCATTTCATTTTTGCATTGTGATTATTTACTGTCTGAGTTCTCACTCATACCTAGTTTTTGCCCTTCATGGCTTCTTATATTCTTGCCAGCTCTTTGATATGTTTGATAGGACATTTTACGTATTTTATGAGCACTTTAAGTTGCTTTTGGTGGAAGAATCAGCCAGAGTCTCCAGTCTGCCATACCACTAGACACAAAAGTCCAACATGCTTTTTAGAGTTTCCACTTCATTCGGTTTTAAGATATTAACCTGCATTCCAAACAACAGAGGTAGGTTTCTCACTCTGGTGGCCTAATCTTCCCATCCACAAACATGAAGAATAATTACCTTTCCACCTGCATCAAATTGTTTTTTGTACAGGACTCATGTAATCATTAACATGAAGTCAGTTTGCAACTGGAAAATACCATGAAAACACACATTTTCTTAACTTTAAAAACAAAACATAGGCAAATAAGTAATAAAAGTTATAACTAAGGGTAATAACCTTAGAATGGGTTGTTAAATTTAAAATTTCTGTATCTTTGCACTCATCTCCTTTGTTTCTGGCCCAAGGCATAAATGAGAAAGACTTAAGATTTAACAAAATATTATTTTATATGTTATATTTGACATTAATTGTATAATTTACATTTTTAGAAAATAAAAAGAAAAAATAAAGAGAAAAAGCAACCTTGAGCACACTATAAAATCTTTCACTTTTTTTTTTGAGATGGAGTCTGGCTCTTATTGCCCAGGCTGGAGTACAATGGCGTGAGCAGCTTACTGCAACCTCCACCTCCCAGGTTCAAGTGATTCTCCTGCCCCAGCCTCCCGGAGCAGCTGGGATTATAGGCACCAGCTACCACACCTGGCTAATTGTTCTACTTTTAGTAGAGAGGGGGTTTTACCATGTTGCCCAGGCTAGTCTTGAACTTCTGACCTCAAGTGATCTGCCCACCTCTGTGATTACAGGCATGAGTCACTGCACCCGGCCTTTTGTTTTGTTTCGTTCTTCTGAGACAGAGTCTCACTCTGTCACCCAGGCTATTGTGCAGTGCTGTGATCTCGGCTCACTGCAACCTCTGCCTCCTGGATTCAAGTGATTCTCCTACTTCGGCTTTCCAGGTAGCTGGAACTACAAGTGTGCACCATCATGCACAGCTAATTTTTGTATTTTGGGGTTTTTTTGGTAGAGACGGGGATTCTGGCCAACTATGTTGGCCAGGCTGGTCTCGAACTCCTGACCTCAAGTGAGCCACCCACCTTGGCCTCCCAAAGTGTTGGGATTACAGGCATCAGCCACCATGCCAATCCAAATAATCTTTCACACTTTTAAATTTTGTGAAATAGCTGTCCTTTTTATATTTGGGTAAGCTATGAAACTTAAGATGCTCACAGTACTTTATATATTTTGTAGGCTGAGATTCTGAGTGTCTAACATTCTGTAATGTATCTTGGTCTCTGTACTGCAAGAACACTGAAGTATTATTATAGGTAACAATCTATATCACTCATCTCAAACAGTGCTAGCAGGTTAAGTATTCAAGAGGAAGCATCCTTCAGTATATTCCAAAAAGCCTCATGGATGGCAGGTGATTTGTAAATGGACCAAACAGGACTCGGGCATATGGTTACTGCTATTTCCTGTAGATCATGAAGTGTTAGGTCTTATGTAGAATATATCATAGGACTTGTCCTCTAAACATTCACATACCAAGACTGCACTCTACATGTCTGCCATTCATTCATTCTGCATTTATTCACTCCTTCTGCATGTCAGACCTCGTGCCTGTTCTCAAGAAGCTCACAGTCTAGGAAAATGGAGAAATATAGCTACAATGATAACTCTATGTGGTAAGTGTTGCAAAGCAATAAGGTGTTATGGAAGCACTGGTAGGGGCACTTAGCCCATACTGGAGTGGGTGGGATAGAGCTGAGTGGCCAACAACAGGGAAAGGTTCACAATGGAACTGATGTCTAGGTTAGATAATGGATAACAAATAATTAGGAAGCCAAGGAAAAGGTAGGAGATCAAGACATAAAAAGAAACAGCATATGAAAATATAGAGATGTATATAAGTATGGCAAGACTGGGGAGCCCAAGTGGTTTGCTGCATATTTAATTTATTCATTCCACGTAGCTATTATTGACATACTTGCCTCCCTATATAGGTTTGAGTCCTTGGATGGTGGGGACTTTGTCATGGTTTCTCTGTCCCTGTGTCTAACAGGAGGCACACAGATGGAGTGCAGTAAAATGTTTGATGAATGAATGAACCAGCTATGTGGTATAAGGGAGAATAGTTAGGAGTCCATTAATGAGAAGGGTCATTTCTAATGGCAATGAGTATCAGATAAGATCGATTTAAGAATTATTTAGAAATTAGGATAAATAAGACTTGGTGATATATTGATGATGGGGTATAAAATAAGAAAAACTGACTCTCAAGGTTTCTGGATTATAGATGCATGGTAATAGTAATAATGGTATAATAACAGCTAATATTCATTAGGCACTCTGTGTCACGAAGTATACAAAGTGTTTACATGAATTAAGCCATTTAAACTCTCAATGACTCAACAAAGCAGGTTCTTATATACTCATTCACAGATGAGAAAATTGGGGCGATAGAGAGATTCACTTGCCCAAGACCACTCAGCTAGCAGATGGCGGACTCAAACCCAATTAATTCTGACTCCAACAGCCATACACATGGTCTACTTTTCTTTACTGCCTCTAATAGATGAGATTAATACCCAGAATGATAGTCCTATTCAATATGTGTATCACATAAATTGCACGTTTCTCTTTTGCTATATATAAACTCATACGATAACTGCTTCTTTATTTTCTGATTTTTGGGAGCTTGGCTCTTTTTGTATTTTTCCTTCCTGGAGGACCTAAAGTGGTATGGAAGTTTGATAAAACAGTTGACAGAAAAGATGAGATAATGCAAGTACAGACATTCTCGAACGCTCTGGCAGTTGCTGGAATGATGGGATCTGGGTTCTACAAGATTCCTCCCCTCCCATCCTCCGCCACACACACACGTCGAAAGGCTTATATGGCCACGGAGTCTCAGGTTGGTTCTAGGAGTCCTCAATTCATGGCGAAGTTACCTCTTCTCCTTCATGGGGAGCCCAACATGCTTCAAGTCAACCTGAGGCCGCCTCTCCGGCCCGCGCTCATTCCAAGGGAAACCGCCCGCGGAGGAACCTGGCGCCAGGTCTTTGACACCTGCGACGCGCCCCGCCTGGCGCCAGGGGGCGCGGAAACGCGTCCGCCCCCAGGCCTCAAGCCGGGTTCGCCCCGCCCCTGCCGGCCACACCCCCCTCCCCGCCCTCCGTCTGTGAGGATCCGCGGCTCCCGGCCCCGGCCCGGCTCCCGGCCCCGGCCCCGCTCCCGGCGCAGGCGCAGGCGCAGTCCCGTGTTCCCTCAGCAGCTGCCGGCGCCTTGAGCCCGCCGCCACGGAGTGTAGCTGGAAGGGCTCGCCGCCCTCCTCCGCCTCTCGCTGCTTCGGGGCGCGCTCTCTGCGGCTCTGCGAGCGCCCTAAGCGCCGGCCGCAGCCGCGGTGCTTTAGTCAGGTGAGTGCGGCCACGGGAGGGAGAGGCCCGGGGCGTGGAGCACCGCCCCACTCGGCGCCAGCGCACCCGCCTACCGCGAGTCGGCCGGGAGAGGCGGCCGCGGCAGGTGCAGGTGCCGGCGCCGGGGAGGGCGCGGGCGGCGGGGGTTCGGCGGGATGCCCCGGTTCGGCGAGCGCGCTGTCCGCCTGGGCACTCGGGCTCTGGGCCCTTGGGGGCGGCGTGGGGGGGGCTCGGCGCCCCGGGTCAGCCGGCCACCCCCTAGTGGGCGTCGTTCGGCGGCTCCTCCCCCGGGCTCGGGCGCGTTACTCATTAACTGCGCGGTCCCGCGTCCCCGGGGTGGGGAACCAGAGCCGGACGGGTTACCTGGCTGCTGGCAGGCGGGCGCGCGGGGGCGGCCGAGAGAAGAAGGCCAGGGTCGCAGAGTGGGTGAAGAGAGTTCCCGAGCAAGTCGGAAGCCGCTCACAACACCGGACACCGCGCGGCAGGGCTGTGGACGAGGCTGTAGCTGTGGACCTGTGGTGGTTTCGTGCCCCAGTCTTAGGAAACGACGCGCAAGGCACCGTGCCGAGGCGTAGAGGTCACCCTCGGGAGGTTTCGGTGAAAACTGGTGGGAAATTACAGGCAGGTGCCCGGAGTCGCGCCCGAGGATCTCCGTGCAGCCCGACTAGTGTTCCGGGGAGTTGAGACGAGCTGCACTGGTGGGATTGCACCGGCTCTGCCCTCCCAGCGTTGACTATTCGCCCGGCCGTCCGGGAAAGCGCGAGCTTCCTGGCTCCAGAAGTGATGATGCTGCTGGGTAGAAGCCGCAGCAAGTGAAGAGTTGCCAGTTGTTATGGGATTAAAAAAGAGATCTCTGCAATGGCTAAGGGGTAAGGTCTTGAAAGACAGGAGCGCTGAGTTAGTACTGATTCCCGAGAGGAAATTTAGTTTCGTGGAATTGTTGCCTGTTCGGAGGCTACCTGTTATACACTCTCCTGCTACCCACCCCCACCTTTCAGTGTCGGGTTAACAGCCTTGTAGTCTCTTACAGTGGAATGATTGCGTAATTGGAGGGGCCCATAAGAGGATTACAACAAAACTGGTCCATTGTAAATCAGCTGAAAGACCTAGTTCTTGTTCATTATCGTTTTTCTCATTTTGTTGTTCATGAAGGTTTTTTTTAAATGGTGAATGACAAATCAAGGAGAAAAGAGGCAGAATAGGGTTGTAGACCAATCATAGTAAATATTTGATACTGTTAAATATTTCACCAGTTTTATGGGGCCTTGTTCTGTTACCATTTGTTATTTATTTACTGGTACTGTGCATTTCTATAGGACTTTTCGTGTTTGGGCAGACATTGTATTCCAGATACAGTTTATGTGATCTAATGCTAAAGCCCTTGTGGAATTTATAGAAATAAACAGGCAATTAAGTAGTCTATTTTTTTAATGATTAGAGGAAAAGCCTTTGCATTTTTTTCCATTAATGTTGTGAACCAAGGTGTTTAATATAACTCTTCTTGTGTGTTTGGCAAACAGCTCATCTGTGGTACTGAATACTTGTAACCTTTCACCAGGATGGCTATTTGATGTTTAGCTGCTTTGTGGGATTTCTGAATAGATCCTATTATACTTTTTGAATTAGTGTAGTTAACCATATGCTTCCTTTAATATATTTTATCTTTTATTTTCCCTAAACTCTCATCTTCCTCCAACACACACACACATCCTCTACAAGTAATTTTTAAAATGGAAAGGTTCTTAGAAATCTTTCACCCCCTCATTTTTTAAACATGGCAGGAAAAAAACCTTGTCGATTACAGTAGTTTTATATGCATTATGGTAGTTAGTATACTTTATTCTCCTCAGCAGGATGCAGTGAACAAATTAGTGAGCTGGGTGAATGAAAAATTATTTAAGGTTCAGCTCCCTCACTTACTATGCATAAACCTTGAGTAAATCATTTAACCTCTTTGAGCTTATTTTCTCCATTTGTCAATGGAGATACTATTAGATTGAAATCGCTAATATTCTGCTGTTTATGTTTCAACTAATATGAACTTCCTAATGGTGAGATGAGGATTTAATAAGATACTCCATTAGAGATGAGGGGAAGCGGAGAAGGAACAAACATGAGCTTGATTGTGTGCAAGGCAATGTGTGTGCTTGTTTTCGGTACCTTGATTCTTTAGTCCTCTGGACATTCCTGTGATATAGGTGGTTTATCAAATTTTACAAATCAGGAAATGGAGGCTTAGAAAGTTATAATAATTTGGCTGGACGCCGTGGCTCACACCGGTAATCCCAACATTTTGGGAGGCTGAGGTGGTGGATCACGAGGTCAGGAGTTCGAGACCAGCTTGACTAAAACGGTGAAACTGTGTCTCTACTAAAAATACGAAAATTAGCCTATCATGGTGTTGTGTACCTGTAATCCCAGCTACTTAGGAGGCTGAGGCAGGAGAATTGCTTGAACCTGGGAGGCGGAGGTTGCAGTGAGCCCAGATGGTGCCACTGTACTCCAGCCTGGGTGACAGAGTGAGACTCAGTCAACAAAAGAAAGTTGCAGTAATTTGTCTGTAGTTAACTTAGTTGTCAGTGGTCATAGAGATGGCCAGTGACAGAGCCACTATTAAAAACTGTATCTGACTGCCCAAAGTGGAACTTGGTGCTCTTGTTTCTTACGTGGTATGTACTTTCTGTTAAAGAGCTTTGTAACTATAAGGAGGCACACAGATCACAAGTGTTACCATTTGTATATTTGGTTTAAAAATACTCAAGTTTTCCGATGACAGTGATAGCAGCATTGCTACTACAGTTATGTTTCAGTCTAGTGCTTATCATGCCAAGTCCTGGTCTAAGCATTATACTAACTCATTTACTCTCACAGTGAGCCAGGAGATAATACTTCATCCTTGTTTTATAGTTGAGAAAATTGAGATGCTGAGACCTTATGTAGTTTGCCCAAGGTCACATAGTTAATTAAGTGACAGGTCTAGATTAGATGTCAGACAGTTTGTCTTCCATGTCTGTGCTCTTAACCACTACACTCTGTCATTTCTTCATGGCTTAAGTGGTAATGCGGAAGAATTGTGTGCTCATAATCACTACATTATCACTTGTTTATGTATAGCTTATAATGCTGAGGAACTGTTTTTAATTTAGCTTTTATGAGATATGTAATATTAATGTAACATGTAATTCTCATGTGTCACCAGAGATTTTTTAAATCAAATATTCATTGAGCATCTACTCTGCAAGTCACAGTAGAGGTTAAAGGAAACTCTTTATAAGGAATATGGAAGGTAGGACCTTATAATCATTCCCTATCTTTGATAAGTTCTTCAAAATTTAGAAGGCAGTTTATATATTTTAATGAATGTCAACTAAGACAAAGTGCTAGGATAGTTGAGTAGTGGAGAGGAAGGACAGATGGGGTAGTGGGTAGAGATATTTGTGCATTGAGGTAATGAGGGAAAGCTTTGAGGATATTCTGAAGGAGTACACTTTTTCAAACTAAGCTTTTGTCTAGTATCTTTTTGATTAAGATGTAGTTCAACAAAAGATAGTAAATTGGCTACTATGCATATGATACCCTAAAAAAAATCTGAGGCTTTGAAAACTGCTTTCTAGCTAGTTTCTTCTTTTTTGTACTACTATCCTTAGTTGTACCAGGTAGTATTCTGTTTTAAAATTTTATGCTTTTATAATACTTAGTATATACGTCTTTTTTGGTATTGATGAGCTTTGATATTTGTGTTGTATTTGTAACTGTTTCTAGGGCTGTAGAAGCATGTTAATTGACAAGGTGGTTTCTTCCTCTAGTCTACAAGTGCTTTGAGAATAGGGCTTACATCATTTTATAGCTTTAACATTGGGTCTGATAGGTTCTGTGCTGTGTTTGGTGATGGTGGGTCAGCTGAAGAATGTTAGGATGTATTGAAGCTGATTTAGCAGTAAAAATTGAAATGAACATTGAGTGAGAAATGAAGGGACAAAGGAAGGAAGAAGGGGATACTTCTACAACTGGGAGCATTAATTTGCTGTTTCTATTTTCCCTTCTGCTTTTTTTTTTTAAACTTAACAACTAAATGATATAGTTTTATAAGCTTACATCGTATATAGTCAGAGAAAAGTGGAAAAAGAGAAAAGTGGTTAGAGGAAAGTGGAAAAAGTAACCTGATTTATCTTAGAATATAGACAAACAAAACTAGATAACTATAACCATAAACTGATATTACTTAGAGGAAAAAGAATGAAAATTATCGAATTAGTTCAAGTTCCTGAAAGATTAGTGCTTATAGTTAACAATAGGATTGTACGGATAAGCATAGTGGCAGTTGATGAAATTCCCCTGAGGGGTATGGATGCATAGACAAATAAGTATATGAATTGACAGTTTAGTATAAAGAAATTCTATTTAAAAATGTGAGAATGCCCTATAAGCACAAAGGAACATACAGATGATAGTTAGAACCACTTAAATAAGTGAATTGTAATTTGATATGCCCAGATAAGAGTGATAGTATTGAATATTTGTTTGGGGGCACCTGGTTGTCAGATAAGGATAAAGTATAAATGAAAAACCAAAATAAGTTTGAAAAAACAAGTAAATTTGTATCAGTTCCCTGTGGGGAAAATAATATTTGAACTAGGCCTCAGAAAGACTAGTTTTCCCCTTCTTTCCCCTTTACCTAAGATAAATAAAGATCCCTTCTGATTTATAAGACAAAACCCTCAGTATGCTTTTGCTATTTCCCCCATTACTTTTTTCTTCTTTCTTAGATCTTTATAAAATCATACATTTGTATTGTGCTTTACAGTGTATACAACATTTTTACATTGATATGCTGTTTGATTTTCTCAAATGTAGGCAGGGGAGATAATATCGTTACCATTGTAGATGTCAAAAATGAAGCTTAGAGATATTAAATGACTTGCACCAGTTCACGCAGTTTGTCAGTGAAAAACTAGAAGGAAGGTTTTTTGAAGTTAGTCCGTTAAAATGCTCAGGTTTTCTGAAACTTGTTTCTCCAGTTTTGATATTCTTGCAAGGTACTTACTGTTTCATTTCTATGTTTTTCAGCAAAAATGTAGCCTGACTGTCTCTACTCTTCACTGCTTTGCCATTCATTCCTTCTTTAAAGACTTGTTTATTCATCAGTGCATACTTCAGTGCCTATTGAATGTTTACTTGACATATATTCTTAAGAGGATATACAAAATGAGGCTTCCACTTTTGAGAAAAAGAAGTTTCAAAAATGATTTTTTTTGTTATACTTAAAATTCTGGGATACATGTACAGAACATGCAGGTTTGTTACATAGGTATACATGTGCCATGGTGGTTTGCTGCACCGCAGCCCATCATCTACATTAGATATTTCTCCTAATGCTATCTCTTCCCTTCCCCCTCCCACCCCAACAGACTCGCGTGAGTGATGTTCCTTTCCCTGTGTCCCTGTGTTCTCATTGTTCAACTCCCACTTATGAGTGAGAACATGCGGTGTTTGGTTTTCTGTTCCTGTGTTAGTTTGTTGAGAATGATGGTTTCCAGCTTTAACTATGTCCCTGCGGAAAATGATTTTTCAATATTTCTGTTAAATTCTGTTAAATTTTAAATAAATATTTAATTACAAATAATTATAAATATTTGTAATTAAATACAACATATTTGTATTTAATTACTACATATTTATTTGTAATATTTAATTACAAAAATTTATTAAATATAAAAAAGAATGAAAATTATTTATTTTACAGCTTTAACATTGGGCCTGATAGGTACCGTGCTGTTTGGTGATAGTTGGTCAGTTGAAGAATGTTGGGATAATTACAAATATGTATTTGTAATTAAATACAACATAATATTAGTTCATATATTTAGAG